AGCTCCACACTTCGGAATGACAAATGTCGTTGTGATCATTAAGTATGCCACCATTTTGGTTTAAACTTTTATTCAACCAAAGTAAGAATGCGTTACCGTTAAAATATACAGACAGGCCACTACAAAATTAAAAATGTCTAGATAATAATATGTATGTTTTTTTTATGGGAATAATTTCAAAAAAAAACCTTTTATAAGATTATTCAAATATATATTTGTGCAATATTTTTATAAAAATATTTTACTAATTTTTCCGTAATACATGTAAATAATTGAGCCCAATAGATAATAACAATAATATATTATTCTTTACATTAAAAATGTAATATTTTTTTTTTTAAAATCCTATTTTATTGTTTTATTTAATTTCTTGGCGATAACTGTTCAAACAAGTTGCCGTATAAGCTTTGAAATATATTATTCAGTTAGGTATATTTTATTTTTATCGGTATTATGACTATATTATTAAATTATAAACTTAAAAAATAAGGCAATTATTTACAGTCCTGTACTGGGCGTGTAAAAACATATTTAGTCGATTATGTCTAATGATTATTAGTTAGTATAAATTTTAATTAATCTAAACTGGAATGTAGATATTGGAAATTGAATATAAGAGAAAAAAGAACAGCTTGTACACTCTCAAATATGCACAACTATATAGTTGTAAATAATTGTATTGGTATCAACATCGGTCAATTAGTCAATATTATTTATTAGTCTGTGTAAGCAAACTAACCGGTTGTAGGACAATAATAATATTATGAATAAAATTTATATTCTCTATATCTATCTCGAGTACGTTGCATGACACAACCGAAGACCGCAGAACATTGTAGATATTATTATATGTTATAGTGATCGTTATAGTTATTCAAATAAAACTAGTATGTTAAGTATTTTAATAAAACACATCGTAGGCTAATTGATTAGCTTTAAAGCTAAATTATGTTGGAATTTAACAAAAAAAAAAGAAACCAAATAATATTGTGTCGTATTTCTTCTACGTTATGTAAAACAAGTAAATGTAAGTGCAACAGCCAACGTCAGGTAATAATGTAACTATAATTAATTTAAATCCTTATGGCTAGACTGAGCACGGTGAACGAATTTGCAACACCTAATTGTTTACAAGTTAAATATCAGGGAAAAAAATATGACCCATTTTTTCCCCATATAATATTTGCGTAATGAATATGTACTATGCAATATGATACGACACTTTGGATGTTCACTGCAATGTATGATAGCGTTATTAATAATGTACATTCGTCTATTGTCGGGCAGAATATATTTTATTTCGCGTTAATATAGCTCGGTTTTTTACCTACCCACACCGTGAAATCGCTTAAAGATGCACTCTAATCGCTGTGACTGACACTAATGCCAAATATGGTCATGGCTCATATAAAACGAACACAAAAACATAATATTAACTTCGTATCGACGCTTGTTCTTATATTATTATGGTAATATAAGAAGAATATAATAATATGATAGTATATTATTAATGGTTGGTTGTTTAAAAGAGCAATTTTTTTTTTTGGCCGTATAAAAATTGCAAAACACAATTATTAATTATTGTAATTATCGTTTATCAGGTGTCAAGTTCTATAATTTGTTGTCACCTAACCGTATATTAGTTGGACGATAATTTTTATAAACACCTGTAGGCAAAAGATTAATTTATTTAAGAAAAATATGATAACTTATTAATACTACACACAATATGGCTAACTGAGTGTATTAGTTTATCAACAATTATATATTAACATTTAACTATTTAAAATTAAATTTGAATTTATTATGTATATTATGTATCTAGTTTGAAAGGTTGTTATTTTAAAAATTAAATCTATTTCATTATAAATATAGGTACATATTATACACAATATACATTATAGCTGTTATACATATTACATTGTATTTTACATCATAGATGGTCTGTGAAACCAGTGAACGCATGATTATGGTTTTATAGTATTTATTAGTTTGACTAAAAAAATATTGTATAGTATTAATAATTAATTTACAATAATAATTTTAATTAAAATTTACATGTTATTATTTATTTATATTTTATTAAATTTTCGTTATCTTAATAAAAAATAATTTTAATAAAATACTTTTGCCTCGTTGCCCGAGATTTAGTTTGTCAGGGCTGAGTAAAATAATTCCCATTCCCACCCGCATCCCTCATCTCTAATCTCTTATCTCTTATCAGATAACAGCGTGACAGCGTTTTTGTGACACTTTTTTCGGTTATTATATCCCTCTCTTACTCAAGGGCCCCTGTCCCAGTCCCAGATCCTGTTCCAACAGTTAAAAGCTTGCCCAGAATCGTGGTACATAGAATCGGCCTGTTCCTTCAATCATCACCTACCATTCGCTCTAGTGCCGTGGTTGTCATGGTTACAAACCAAGTGTTTATTTTGGGTTAGCAACGGACAATATTTCGTATTTAAAGTACCAAGTTCGTGTTTGAGGTCACCCTTAGGGGTGGAATTTTCAAAAAGTACTATGCCAATTAGGTTCGTGGGAGTGTACTCAACAATTTCCCAAAGTTTCATGGCGATCGGATAAATGGTGTACTAATGCATAAAGAACAGACAGACGGACATTCATTTATATATATATATATTAGATAGATTACATAGGTTAAATATTCATAGATGTTTCTTGGGAATATGAAATATGACAGTCGTTAATCGTTATCATAGTTTGTTGTGGTTAATATAGGTTTTCTTTTATTGCGTAAATATTTGTAAAATTATCATACTATAATAATTTAAGCATAACATTCTTGTTATTATTCAACTGTGATTATTCGGTTCAAACTAATATATTTTAAGTCACTATAATATATTTATTAAGTATCTATAATTTAAATGACTATCAAAAATAATGAAAACAATATTTTGTATCTCCGAATATTTTATAACGAAAAAAAAAAATACTTAACATCGGTATATATTTTTTTTATGATTTTACCAGAGCATGTGTGTTGTATCATTAATATTTAATTATAATAATTATTGATGCGTGTCTTCTTTTACCACACCTCCCATGCATTAGGGCTCCATTAACCCCAATGTTGTGTCCTACAAAAGTGGTTATTACATCTGATATGAAGAGCCACAGTAATATCTGTTTATTGTCTACTACAATATTTCTGTAAGAGTTTACTTTGTTTAATACTGTCGTAATACTTAAGTTAAACTCTAATGCCGTACGATCTCATGGAAATGTACGGATGTCGGCCTCAAGTTATATACGATTATTTGTTTCTTTAAACTTATTCAAATTCATTAAATGATGCGTATAACCCGATTAAAACGTTTCATCAATTTGTCTTATAAAATATCATATTACCAACACATTTAATGATAAAAGCAACAACCTTTGAGTAGTTTATTAAACCTAGCAAACTATAATATACAAATATATACAATAGTGCTCTGTGTTAAAATTATGAATTCCAATACAATTGGCTGGGGGGAGGGTAGGGGTTAAACAAATTTAAGGGAATAAAAATAATATTATCCACTAATTTAGTTTATAATAATATAAATATTATTATTACCATATGGCTTATTTTGACCGGGAGTAGGCTTAAATGACCTAAGTTCGGTCGTTTCAGTGAAGGATGTTAGTTTCTCTCTTTAGGCGTCGCCTGCCCAGAGTGAGAGAGAGAGACAGTCTGTTTAAATTGCACACCAGTGGGGCTGTTTAGATCCTAAAATTATGTTAAACGAGAAATCAAGCGAAAAATTGTCTGTATCAACGAGCATGACCAAAGTGACCACTTAGACTACCAAATCATTTTACGGTGATTTATGAAAGTGAAAATAAAAGAAGAAATTTATTGAAAGGTTAGTTTAGAGTGAGCAATTCAACCCACGCATTTTTAAAAGATTGCATGTACAAATCTGCTCCAATTTACTTGATTAATCATTTTGAAATTTCTGATAGTATTGACTGAAAAGTAAATAAATAGAAAATAGATCAATTTACGTTATATTTACCATATAACATTTATGTACTTAAACTTTTCGTTTTATTTATTGGTAAATTAAGTGTTTTATGTTAAGTTTAGCGTACCGTTGGGCTAGGATATTGAATACAAACTTGTGAAAAAATAATCATTTCATTAGTTTAATAAAGTATGTCGTTTAAAAAAATTATTGGTTTTATTGAAATGGTGAATCCATGCGTAAACAGTACCGTTTTGAAATACCGTATTCTTAAAATTAGTTAATGAGTTACTATAAAAGTGAAATGGTAAAAATAATAATAATAAATGATTTATATTAAATTATTGTTGAGATTTTTTAGCAACAGTTTTGTTCACTGTCTTTTTCTTAATTTTACTAATAATAATAGTTGTAAATACTTTCAAGTACTACTTCAAGTTCCGGAAACACGATTTCACTTGAAAATATGTTTTAAACTTTTAATTTGAGCGTTTGCTCATTCATTTCTTATCAATCATTGCACTCGGGTACACCGATTTTTACTCATATTACTCTGTGTGTTATAACATCCATCGCGGAAAATAGAAACGGCGCTGAAATACAGAGTACGACGATGTGGAGGATTGCATTTCTGGTATGAAAAATATAATAATACAAGTAATGTATTCCATATTACGATAGGGCACCGTCGATAATCGTTTCTAATTCGTGACAGTCGACGCCGCCGTGTTTATAGCCTCCGACCGCGTTGCTCTTGGAGTGGAAGAGTAGAAAAAATACATTCATAAATATATATATATATATATATATACTATATAGATAATCTATATATATATAAATAATAATAACAATAATTACGCCGACGACGGTCAGCGGCCGTGCGGGTCTTCAGGAGTGGGCAGTCGAGAGCGGCGATGCTGCTGCCTTTTGTTGGTCCTTCGTTGCCCGGGACGACCGCGACCACGGCCAGGCGTCGATCGAACCGGTTTCCCCGAGGAGGCGCGCACCGGCAGTTTTCGGCCGGAACACCAACCGACTCGTCGTGCGGTCTTCGCGCAGTAAATTTGTGCTTGTATTATAAGTGTGTGTGTGTGTGTGTGTATGGTGCGCGCTCGTGTCAAGACGTCGACAAATAAATAATATTGATTCTTCGACACCGACCAGTGACCATACCCGCCCCGTTGACGTCTCAATGTGCTTCGGAGACGAACCGTCCGCATAGACCCGACAGCGTGGTGGCGGCTGCCGCTATGTTTTCCGGCAGGACTCGGTCCAGTGTCCGGCTCAAGGATCCCAAACAACAGAGGTCAGTTTTTGTTGTTGTTATTTTCCTATTTGGGTTTCTTTCGCGTTGGGGTTTTCGTCGTTGCGGTCTTGTTGGTTTTGCACCTGCAAACTGGTCAGAGGGACCCGCCGATACGCCGTCGTGGCGACGCATGACAAATGAGGATTAATATTGGATTTGAGCCCGTGTACACCGACCAGTCTTGGTGTAGACCGGTTTGGGTGGTCCGCCGGCGGAGAAGGACGCGTTCAGGTATGAGGGCGTCGCGCACCCTCCCTCGTACGACGTCTTACTGCAGACCTTTCATTACCTTTCATTACGTTTCTTTTTTTTTTTTTTAATAAGATTTCCTCTCGCCGTAATCGAACGGAAAGATTATTATCGACCTTTAAATACGCCATTCGATTGTTTACATTGGGTATGAGATATTTTATCGCCGCGGTCCGTCCGTTTAATATTAAATAGTTCGACGGTATGGCATGAGCTGTTATTCGTTACAGTGTTTTTCAATTATTTGAACAAGCGGGCGTCGTCGGTGTACTTTATAATCGTAATTAATATAAAAACAACAACTGGAATTTCCAACTGTTAGAGATTTTATTTAAAAAAACGCCGTTTACTACCCCATAAAAATCCGATGTGGGTTTTCAATTTCAAACGATTCGTTACGATTCTTAAATTAAACGTCCGACAAAGGTTCCGTGGACATTTAGCGACCGTGTGTGTACGCATTATGTTGTAAAACAAAAATTATCACGATCAGTGTTACTGGACGCCGACAAAGAACTCTTGATAACGTCGCACTATCGTTTGTATAAATCGGCCGGGATAAGAAACTACGGCTGTTTTTATCCCGCCGGAAGATACATTTTTTCGGAACGTTTTCCTCCGTACAATGTTCGAGAAGGCTCGAGTCGTTTGTACATAATAATAATAATAATACTATTAATGTTTATTATATACCTAGCTGTTGGTCGGTCCGTGCTACCACGCCGTTATTACGTGTAAATATCCAAAGACCGTCGGAGAGAGATTTCCCAAGAGATCGGTATCGCTTTAAACCCCGGATCCGTCTTGTAGTATGCGAAATTATCATGCCACCATACTTCCCAAGTCATTCAATTACACACTCGTGTGTGTGTTGGTTTTTTTATTTTTATTAATACATTTTTTTTTTTTTTTTATTCGTCTGGCATTGTTGTAAACGAGCCGAAGGACGAGACGGTGGCCAAAGTATGGGAGGGGAGGCACGGGGAAAGTGGTGGCGATGTCGGCGTCGGCGGAAGAAAAAACAATCCACAGTATTTTCGTGGCCCGGTAATTGGCTTTAGTTTCGCCGACGCGTGGGAATATTCTCATTTGTGTACACACACAATGACGACGAAAATCACTTAACGAACAGTGTTCCTTGAAGTTTAAGGTTGCAGCTGGCAAATTAGACCGTTCGCCTGCTTCTGCACAATTCGTAATTACGCCAGGATCGCGGGCGGATTTAGGGCAAACGCCAGCCAAGGGGTTTCGCTTTTCGACAAGCATCCAAACGATTCGGACCACGTCGGTAGTACAATATGGTCGGAAATAATTGGATTATGTCGCGTTTTGGTTTTTTTTTTAACAAGCTTTGGCTCTTTTCGAGCCTCACGTATGTTAATAATAATACGAGTAGTAAAATATGCATAATATTTCACACAGACTATGCGTTTCATACATAGACGACCCGTTAAGAAAATCCAAACCAGAATGTCTTGGAATTGTTTTAATAATCGTCAAATACTCACAGTAAATAAAAGAGAACTCTATCTGTGCTGAAAACTTTCCCCGACTTAATGTAGCAATTTTTAATAATTTATTTAAAAAATATATTAAAAACTTAAAAAATTCCTAGGAAAAAAAATATTTGAATTGCTACGGTTAAGCATATAGCTAATATTCTTCTCTATTTTAACCATGGAAATCAAGCGAATTTAATAATAATAACATTACAGCCTTAACAATATTCATTCGCTTAAACCCTTAATCACACTACAAATTATTAGTGGGTAGCGTCCAATAAACGTTTTTAAACATTATGATAAACAATACACGTGTAGAATATTAATTGCCGGTAACACGAAAAGTGTCGAAATAAAATATGTGCTTGAAAAGATTTATTTTTCATTTCAATAACCAGGTAATACAATAAAATGTACTTTGGATGCCGTCTTGGTCATTGTTGTACCCGGTCGAGCATAAACCGTAAGTCAGTCTAAGAAAGATACGGATCGGACCGTGTGTAGTATACCCTTCTGTTCGTCTCGAAAATATGTTGTCAGTACACAACGCGTCAAATATAAACACTTGTATTCAATTAAATTTATCACATTAAGAATGCACCGAAAACCCCTTGTCGTCCGTGGGAAGAATTTTCGTAGACAATTTTCCATATTTCAACAATCGGAGGGGTTAGGTTAGATTTTACTATCGATGATCCTATTCGTTTATTCGGATTAAAGAACTCGAACTGAAAACCGTTCAGGCAACACATAGAACAATTATAATATTATTATTGTCTAAGAAAATAGTGTAAAAATATCATTTATATTGAATTTGAGTTTGAAAGATAAAACGTATTTTTTTTTCTAGTTAATGTATTCGGATTAAATCCATTAGCCATATGAAAATTATCCTTCATTGAGGTTTGGGATTGTACTTATTACCTGAAGTGTGTATGCAATTATTATGATAACAAATGTAACAGACCTCCTCGCACCGAAATCTAAAACTAGTCTAAACCATACTATCCGGTTTTTTTTTCTTTAAATCATTAGATATAATAATATAATATTATGACGTACATAAACAGCGTTGAGGTTACAAGCACTTTGGTTGGCGAAATTGAATTTGGAATCGAATGAGTGTTGTTCCGTACGTGCCAACCAGTGTATACTACTTGCCTGTCGGTGGAAAAAGGATTGAAGATTTCTATGTTGTTATGAAAATAATAACTACCGAAGAATTACCATAATGACCCCGTCACCTACTTTTCGAATAGGAATTGTCCAGTGCACGTAAAGACTATGTACTGAGCAACTGTCAAACAAATGCGCGTGGCTGGCCATCTTTATAGCCAAAGCCTAAGTGAACAAAACGGCAGACTCAGATCAGGATTTGGCGGCAGTACTCGAAATACTAATAAGTCTCGAGGAAGCACTATACTTATTTTATTTGACGTATTTGCCAGCTGTAACTCAAAGGCAAATGGCCAACAAAATTACTATTCAAATAATATGCTTTGTGCTGAACTAACGACTACGCACAGTCTATTAATATGGAATTGTTGTGTCCTCCGTACAGTCGTTTAGCATAGTCACTGCCGTCTGCTGATATAATATAAGCACAGACCGTGCATCTTTACTTCTGATGATGTACAACTACAAGATGGTCACGTGCTAACGGTAAAGTACAATTGAAATCCGTACTTACCTACCTATCCACGAATGTTTTCCGAACAATCGAGCTGCTAGAGTAGTATAACGGTTTTATGAATAAACGCACAAGCTAATTATCGGAACTTGATTACAAAATTAAGTTATAATATAAAAATATAATCATTTCCCCATTTATTGTTAAACTTTTTAGCAGTAATAATAGATAATATTTTTCTTTAAAATTTAATGTAAATTGTAAACCAATTTAATGTGTTTAATAAATTATCCTGTAGCATAACATAAGTTTAGTGAGTAAATGCCGAAGAGCACATTATACTAACGATAATTTATTTTGTAACTAGAAAATTATATTATCTTCATGTAAATCGTATCCTTCATTAGTATTCTATGTGATGCAGTTTTAGTGCACGTATTTACTTTACAACACAGTAAAGTGTAAAATATGTTTCATTCCAAACGAGACTTATGTGACAGAAAATTGAAAATAAATTTATCAATGCGGGTTGTGTTGTATTGAGTAAAAAGTTTAATTGAATTTACATGTATAAAGTATTAAGTATAGTTCACAGTAAATCATATAATATAGTATACAGCTGTATGGTGTAGGCTAATTACTACTACCTAACATATTTTATGCAATAATTCCAAGATATATTGTACACAAGCTTACATATTACTATTATATAAAATGGATCTTATTATAAATGATTCATATACAACACAATTTTACTCATGTCAATAAAAATATTTAGTATGACGCACATTAGATATTGATGTTTTGAGCTATTTTCAAGAACACTCCAGTATTCGATTACAGTAAATATCTTTCTTCATATTTCTCTCTGATCTGTACACCTCCATTTGTACCATGTCTTCTTCAAGGATAACGGAAAGAAAGGTATAAACTATATGTCACATTCCAAAGTGTCTACCAAATCTATTCAATTTTTTTTTTTGTTATACAACTTTACATCTCCTCTATGGTTGTTAGAAAATTATTTCTTATTACACCAGATAATTATGTCTAATGTATACAATAATAATTATTTATAACACTTTCGTCATAACTCATGGAAATATTAACTAGTAAAAGGAAACATATTAAAAATAGTATAGAAATATTAAAATAGTATAAGGAACACGTACAAATTAAAATTCACTTACCCTTTAATTTGATGTCATATATGTGAGCAATTATGAATGCTGCCAAATTAATATATGGTAAATGACGTCTATTTAAACTGCTCTGATAATTTGGACAGATTTTCTCCCCCTCTATTTGGCAATATTTAACAATAAACTATCGGTAAAAAGTAAAGAAACGTTTATTTGGGATATTCCAGTATTGTTGTAGCGTTTGTAAAAAATAACGCACAACTAGGAAATTAAAAATCAAGCTTACACATCCGGTTGCTATAATATAAATACCCGCATATTCGATTATTTAGAACAATATTACAAGCTGCTACTAAAAAGCATGCCTATTGACTCTCTTACCTGTTGACTTCACGATTGCGTTTTGGATGAATGCGGCGTGGCCGTTAACGGTATTGTTAGATCGTGTCGGCGACAGTGTGACTTCGCGTGGTCGGA